TATATATATATTTTCTAAACAACCATTCGTTTTCTTTAAAATAAGGCTAAAAATTATGCAGATTATTTTATAATTCATGTAAGCATTTAATTGAAAATAAAATTTCAAATTATAATAAGAAACAATCAGTCTTTTTATTAAAATTTGATATTTTAAATTATAATTTTCATTTGATATCCCAGTTCTAAAGTTTGATTTTAAATAACAAACATAAAAGTATTTCTGATCAATTTAAACTACCAAAATCTGTATTTTTAAATAGTTGCACGCATATCCTTATATTTCTTAATAAGTAAGTGTTTCAGTATCCCTCATTCAAACAAGAGTTTAAAATTGTAAAATATGTAATTGTAATAGTTTTTAATTGAAAAAGCATTTTCTTTTCAACATAAATTAGAATATGGAAAATTATGCGTCCAGCAATAGTTCAACATATTTGCTTTGTAAGAATAAGTCAATTAAATAATTTAAAAAGAAATCTAATTCACTTTTTATAATACCTTTACAGCACAAACAAGATTATTATCAAAAGACTTAAAAATAAAATTCTTTTGTGATCTTACGATAAGAGGATGTGATGAGTCTATAAATTGATTTTAGAAGATTTATCAACGAATTGTCTCAAAATATTGGTAAAAAATTTTGAAATTCTATAAATAAATAAATAACAATTCTGTAAAATTATTTTACAACATCAAAAAGCGTCTAAATAATTTTTATTTGAAAAATAACTTGATGTTAGCTTTATAACTTGGATATCTGTTAGTTTACCCCTATAAAAAAACCTTTTTTAACATGTCAAATTATAATGACAAATAATCATAACTTATGCTGTTGTCAAATAATTTGTTCAGTTTAAAGCAAATAATTATTGAAGCAGTTTTCAAATGGAGTGAAAAATCTTCTAAAAAGATGGCTTGATTATTTTTTATTACCTGTACAGACCATTTGTTGTCTAAGAAATGTCTCCTGGAACACCTGAAGATTAAGTTACAAAAGCTCTTGAAAATAAGGTCATTATTCATCTTACCATCCAAATTTTCTTTTGAAGCACAGTCTTAATTTTTTGAAGCAAAGCATTTTTAATAATTACTCACCTTGGAATTATTTTTATTCGATTGAATAGTGAAACCGTATATCTGGTAAATATAAGGTGATTGAATATTTTTACCTCATTTGAAAGGCTCCAGGAGATTTTAAGAGGAGTTAACTATTTTCAGATTTGAAATTTCCACACAAGAATTAGGATGATCAGTACTCGTAACAAATTCAACACCAAATTTGTACCCTAGTGTAATCTGTAAAACAATATTGCAGTATATTATATTGTCATCACAATAATAAGAAAAAGAATTATTTTTAAAAACTCTTGCATATTATATTTCCAAAAATATTTATTAACCAAAGAATCATTTACTTTGGAGTGTCATTATTTTTTTATTAGGGTCAAATTGGGCCCAATGGCGATTTTTATTAAGCCCAAAATTCGGCTGTTCTAGCGTTAACAAGAATATAACCAATATTTTTGCGAATTATTCTTTATTTGCTCAGCATTACCTATCGTTAATATATACAATACATGAAGATTGAACTATTATAGAAGAATCATATTGGCGCATCAGATGTGAAGCATTTTATTTTCAATGCTCAGATCCCTTTATAAAATTTTCCTTGTCTTTCCATAATTTTTCATTAATCCGATAAATTAAAAATTTTCCGATGTACGATACGTAAAAAAATATGCTATTAATAAAAAAAAGCGTTGTTTTTATTTGATTTGTATAGTTTAAACTTCTCCTCCTGATTTTAAAGAACTGCAAGAAAAACTACTTTCATCCTAAACAAGAATTTTGGATAGAAAATACTTAAATGAATCTATTTTTAAATCGATCATCATTAATCATCATTAAAATTTCAATAAATAAAACATATATTTGATTACTTTATAACTTAATGATTTAAATTCAAACTTATATTTTTATTTATATAAGCAAACAAAAAAATCATCTTAAATTTAAATTTTGTTTAAAGCTCACTTAAATAACATAATATAATATAATATAATATAGTATAATATAATATAATATAATATGATACAATATAATATAATGTATATATATGTATATATATATATATATATGNATATATATATATATATATATATACGCACGCACACAAGCAGTTTTAATCTAAATGTAAATTTTTGTTTGTGCAAATATAACTATCTGTAATCAGCCAAATATTTAAAGAAAATCTTTTAATTTGTCGAGGAAAGGAATTAATTCTAAAACACGTGATTTAAAGCGCAATTAATGAATGGATCAATTTATTCAAAGGAATTGCTTCAAACTACATTAATTCTCAGTAATCCGACCTCTTTATTGGCACTTATGAATTCATTAATACAATCGCAACACGGGATTTAAGCATTAATTGTAAAAGGCGACGTCGAGTGAAAAGATCTTTTCTTAATATTATCCTTTCACAAGTGTATGTTAAAAAATAAAATCAATTGTTCGGAGGAGAAAATAATTCGATTTAATTCTCCGTAATCACTTCGATGTTTAACAATTTTGCTCGTTTTATTTTTAACATTGTTGTCTTTGCTATTTTGTCCGTTTTTAAGATTTTATTTTGATATGAATACACGTTTGGTTGTTAGCAGAAGGTTCTTATGTAATGAATTCTACAGGCAGACTTACGTAAGTACTAAAAGGACACCAAAATATATTTTGAATCTGTAATTATTATTAATGATATATTGTGAATATTAATATTTTGTATCTTTGTTTGTTTATTTATGGTGCTAAAAGAGGAAATAATAATCAATTTTATTTTAGTGTTCCTAGTTATTTTCAGTTATTACTTCTGGTTAATATTACTATCGATGTTATGTGTAATAATGTATCCTTTATTATATTTCTTTCTCCGCAAGAAACTTTTTTTAAGCAATGCATTTTTTTGTTAGTCTTTTTATTAAAATGATATTATTTTGTTCATGAAATGCTAAATTCTTGAATTATAATCCTTTCGAAAATTACACCTCAATAAATTTCAAAAACATTTGTATTCATTACAGCTTTTGTAAAATTGTATCTTTATTAATTATAGCATTGGTAAAAAGAAACCTTAATTATAACCACTTAGCACCTTAAGTAAAATTACAAAAAGTTGTGGGGATAATTTTTTTTAAAGAAAAATATAGTATATGTAGGCTATAAAAATGATTTTTGTCAGGATATAAAAGTGTTTTAATAAATTTAAGATGTAAAAACATATTTCTTAAAAAATTTGTTAAAATCTTAAGGCGATATTTTAACAATAATATTTACGTCTACTTAACTAAAAACTAACTTAGCTAGATATCTAAAACAGCAAAAGTATTGCAAATGTTGAAGTATATGTAAAAAAAAAGTCATCTTGATTCTTACTATTTTAAGTGCGGACTCGACGAGGTGCAAATCCACTGTGGTGATCATTTTTTCTAAGGAAGTGTATTAAATTTAGGGTGCAAAAAATGGCTTTGCCCGTAGAAAAAGAAGTTCGTTGCCCGGCAGTGAGAATAGCGGGGCAAAAAAGGGTTAAATAGCTCAAAAAAAAGAGTTAACCCTAGTAAGGGCCCGCTCCAGCTGCACTGAGAAGTCAATGAACACGGAGATGGGGCACTTGCTGTGTAGCGCTATGTGCTTTAACCCTATCAGAGCCCCAAGAGTGGCACATCTGTTGATGGAAAACCTATTAGGAAAAACTACATCCCGAAACAGCGGATTTTGTTTGGAGTGAAAAAAAAACCTCGGTTCAGGCGGAAAAGGTAGTTTATTAAAAAAAATATAATAAAATAGACAATGATGGTAGTTGACCCTTTCAGCCAGCCCCGTTGTGTTAGGGACGGGTTAAAAAATGGAGTTTAATAATAATAAAAAAAAAACTTGCTTTTGTATGCCCGGTCGTTACTCTCTGCTTCTCGATGGTTAATTTCTTCACGACTCTACTCGATGGCCTGGGAAAAATCTTCCAAGAAGTTGTAGCCTGTTTTCAGAAGCTGTAAATTTTAAATTTTTTTAATCTTTTCAGGCGTTCCTGATTTTTTTCTGGTTTCTAAGAAATGGCTTTTATTTTTTTATTACTAACTCGGGCAGCCAACTCGCTATCTTTTCTTGGCCTTATCCCGGTGTTTCTTCACCGTTGTTTTCAATACTCCCTTTTTTTTGGGTCGTTAAACTTGCTGTTAGTTTTTTCTTTCCCCGTGTTATGAGTTTGGAAGGATGCTTCTGTTTTTGATATCTAAACTTTTTTTTTTGATATAATAAATTGTTTTTCACTGAAAGGCTTTTTTTTTCTTCTAAAATCTTATATATATTTTTTGAAAGAAAGATAATAGCAGTATACCTTTAATATGACACATAGAAGAATATATTTTTTAACTTTCAACAGAGTAATTTTTTCTTAATAAACTGATGCTATCTCGCCGGTATATTGAGTATTAAAAAATTAATTACTCCGCAGTATCTCAACGAGAAAAAAAATCAGGAAGTTATTTTTTTAGTTAGATTCCTCAGTTTAAAAAAAATCCTTTTATTTTTAATTAACTCTTTTTTTAAAAACCTTAAAAAAATTTTAATTTTCATGAAAATGTTATTTTTATAAACACGCAGGTATTTTCTGGTAGATATGTGTAAAATTTTATCCATAATATATTTATATAATTTTTCACAAAAATATTTATTTTACTTTTTACACTACTCGTTTTGTATATTATTTATTTTTTATTTGATACTTTTGATAAAATTTTAAAAACAATAGTATAATAGTCTTGATATTTCCTTCAAATTAAAAAAACATTGATACTTTTTTTTACTGAATACCATTTTAAATAATATAAAACATTTTAAGGATATTTTATTTTCCTTAGGTGTAATATGTAGTTGTAAAAAATCAGTCGAAAAAATACCTAACGTTATTTAAGTCATATAATGGAATGGTCGTATTTAGTCCCTCAGATTGAAAAAAAAAATTATGACGAATTATCTTACCATATATTATGGTTAACATAAAACTGTGTTATGAACAGAAAGCTAGTTTTTATTAATCGAAGAAACAATAAACTATGATTTTTCGCACAATTTTCTTTACTTTTTTTATTTCAGTCTTCTATCTAAAAAAAGATAGAAGAACAATCTTTTCTTTTGAAATGGATTTTGTAGTATTTATGAAACAGAATTAGGAAGTTCTGAAAATAATAGCAGAGAATTATGGAAAAATATAGAAATGTATGTGTAATTTTTTGGTATGTTCTTGTATTACAATTGTTACAGAAAATGGCTTATTAAATACGTTTGAAAGATACGTTGCGCTATATACCTTGAAATAGAAAATGCATAACTTTAATGCTAGATACATATATTAATAATTGTTGGCCATGTTCTTGGTAGCTTTAATTCTAAAGTTTAATTTGAAACTTTGAAAAATCAGTATGATTCAAACTTTAAAATAATTATATTTTTCAATTATATTAAAGATTTTTTTATTACTAAAGACTTTAAAATAATATTTTATTAAGTTGATTGTGTCTAAAAATACTCAAATAGTATAAAAGTCATAAAAAATTAATTTTACATACTCAGAATCATTGGCATTTTATTAGTTTGAACTAATAAAAATAGTTAAATAATTTTAATTTAGTCATTGTTAAACATAATATGATGCTGAATAATAAGATTCTCAAACAAGTTGAATAAATTTTTTAATAAAATTCTTCATCGAGAAAATCAACAATACTGAAACATTTCATACTATATTGAAACATCTCATACTATGTTAATGAGTGCTCTCTGAATTAGGAGTAAATATATTTAAAATAACATTTATACGAAGTTACGAGAACTTTAAATTGAAAGCTTTTTTTTATTTAAACTTATATGGAATTTTTTCGTGTAAACTTTATGAAACAATTTTAAGGAATTTCTATTAACAAAGCCTACAAAATTATATTTAAATAAGTAGCAAGGAAACTTTCCCTCGTGTCTGAAACATTAATAGAAAGTCATAAAAATTTGTCTAAAAGTGCAGAAACTTTGATCAGTAGAAATAAACACAAGAATTAGTTTAACTTTAGTAATGTTTAAAAACATTGAAAAATATTATTTCCGATGCAATTCGTTCCTTTAAAATCATTTCTGTGAACTCTAATCACAGCAAAACGTTGTACAATGATTATTTCAACAAAACAATACACTAAATTCTTTAAAATAGTTATATAAAACTCATGTTCAACTTTCAGAAAAATTAATTAAAAAAG